AGTGGATTATTCTTTCTCCTGTAGACTTATTCCTAACTCCCCAACTGGTAATTAGTCACACTGAGGACTTCTTGGCAGTTACGTGTCATGAGAAAATATTTCAGGAGACTGGAGAAGAAATGGGCAAGAGAATTATCTATTGAGCACTTCTTTAGCTAGGCGTTAGACCCACTAATACTTATAAAAACAATACTACTGCAAGGTAGATATTTTCTATCCCATTTTGCAGAAGGCAAAATCATTTCCAACAGAGACATACCTTGTACAATATCACAGCTATTAAGTGGGAGTACTGGGGTTCAAACTTAAGTCATAAGTGTGTCTCATCATACCACAGTGCAACCTTTTAAGTTAAAGGACCAGATCTAAGTGGCTTACTGCTGCAATAGCTTTGCTATTAGCATTAACATAACTGACAGAGATTTCTGATAAATAAAATGGACTGAGTGTTTTGTTTTTAAATTTATCCCTTGAGTTCTATAATTTAACAAGTAAATGGTTTTCCTACTCATGTTTTATAATTCAAAACTTGCCATATTTTTTCTAGGCTAACAAATTGGAGCACCAAATATGCCAGCTTAACAAATTCACAGTCACACAGGGACCTATTTCCATCTTAAGAATTACCTTTCTTTTCCTAGAGTTATCAATTAAACGCCCATATAAAATTTTATGCTTTTAATTTCAGAAATTATATTTTAATTGAACAGGTAACACAAGAAATTTCAGATAGCACAAGAATTTTCAGACTGCTTGGATCTGACAGGTATGAAGGGGGTTATATATTAAATACATAGTGTTAAACAGAGTGTTTTATAAATCCAGCATGAAACTGGTTTCTTTTTCAAGAGAATTGAAATTTCTTCAGCAAAATATTCAACATTATATTTTTCACACAATAAGTATTCACAATTCAAAGTTTTAAAGCCTTTGAGAATGTGCCTGATCTTCCAAGTACCAGGAATATATAGATCTGTCAGTAATAGTTTTGTATTAAAAATACTATCTAAAGCATAATTTATACTACAAGAGGAAATACTATATGCTAACAAACAGAAATTTTTTGATTTTAGTGCTAAATAGAACTTTGAGGTTCTATGCTGATTTACTTTCTGATTCTTGAAATACAAATTGTTTTCAGAATTTAGAATAAGAATTAAGTTCCCCCAAATTATTTCTAATACACATTCTCTCCCCGCCCCCACTCTTAGAACACTGGCCTAGAGGTGGGAGGGGGTGGGCAGCAAAATTACTTCCCAGAGCTGGAACTGGCTTTTTAATCATAGCGATTAAATGATTGCTGTCCACAAATCAAATAAGCAGCAATTATAGAGTCATATAATAAAGAAGCAATGGAAAATTTTTCTAGCATTAGTTTACAAGAATAACTTTGTTACATGTTTTGTTTGTTTATTACTTTTAGGGTCGTGGTTTTGGAAAGTAGGCCAACTGATAACCCCACAGCAAATAGCAATCTGTACATCCTGGCGGGTCATGAAAACAGTTACTGAGAAATGTGCTTTGACACTTAACTATAGAAAGAAAGAACACTACCGCTGCAACATTAATGGATGCTTGAAGCTGTACAAAAGCTGCAGTAACTTGGCTTCAGTTACTTGTAATTTATTGTGGCATGAGACAAGATGGGGAAAATTTTTGTTTTAAGTGGTATGGATATATTTAGCATATTGAACCACACAAGTGCTTAATTCATTGTTATGTAATCTTTGTACATATAGGCAGTATTTTTCTGTGAAACTTCATATTGCTGAAGACATACACTAAGAATTTATGTAGATAATGTACTTTTATGAGATGTACAAGTAAGTGTCTTATCTGTACAGATGTAAATGTTGATGAAAAATGCGATTGGGTTAATATTTTAAGAATTCTTTAGTATATTCTTGGGTGTGGCTATATTACAAAATGGGATGCCGGCAATGAAACAGTACATTTAACACTATTGTATTTTTATTATATGTAATTTAGTAATATGAATATAAATCTTGTAACTTTTAAAACTGTAATGGAGGCTGTAATCATTTTATAATCTTGTTTTTAATTTTAATGCAAGTACACTGGTGTTTATATTTGCACAAAGTATTGATATGTGATGTATTAAGTCACAAAAGTAAGCTGTGACCTTGTCGATACACATCTGGCTCCACAACATCTTTTTAAAATGTATTTGGATTGTTTACTATGTGAAACAAACCAATTAACCACCTGTTGTAGTAACTGGTCTTTTTATATTTAAGCAGAATTCTGTAAGATTGCTTGTCTATGCTTAAAAATATCTTTGAAAAAATTTTGAATCACAGAATAGCGGTACCATGATGTAACACTGCAGTTGTCTGAATTACAGTATGCACAAAGAATAAATTAGCATTATTAAAGAGTCCACACTAAACATTTCATATAATCACATTGAAGAACTATAACATTCCGTAGAGTTAAGTGGTTCAAATTTCTAGTGGAATTTTTACTTTTGTTGGTCTTATGATCATTTTCATATTTCTTTTGATTTAGAGTATTAACACATGGCCAAAATAATTTAGTTACTACCTCATGTAAACAATACAATGGTTACTACACATCACAAGAACTTAGTTTTGGTTAAAGTCATTTTGATTGCTTTTTTTCCCAATGGAATATGTATGTATATACCAAGTTTTAGCAAAATGCACACTTTTGGCTCTTTTGGTATATGTTCTTTCTATTTTAATGTGAGTATATACACTAAGAACAAACTAAATTGTGATTTATGGTCTTCATTTATTTTAATTGATAATGCTTTTAAATATGTTTCTGATTGTACATAGTGTAAAATAAACATGTTTTTTAACATGCTGTTGTATAGTAGCTTGTCATCTGGCTTAATCTATATATAGTAAAACTGAAGTATAGCTAGAAAAAACTTAATTACTGTGCATTAAATCCTTAAATACCCATTCTGATCCCTCAGATCATGATTTTTTTTTTTTTTTGAACTGTCATCTAAATTTCATAAGAGTAATATTCCTACATTTGAGAAAGGGACGTCTTAATAGAATCTTCAACTTCCTGATTAGGAAAATCAATTAAACATTCATAGTCTTTTGGTTAGAAAAGGTGTCGGCAAACTACATTCTTCAGCCCAATCCCATTCACCTATTTTTGTAAATAAAGTTTTATTGGAACACACTATGTATTCATTTACATGTTGCCTATGACTGCTTTGGCACACAGAGCCTAAAATATGTACTCGCTGACCCTTTATAGAAAAAGTTTGCGGACTCCTGAGTAAGAGAAAGGAAAGGAGACTGTTGGGAAATGTAATTCTGGAAGGAAGGAAGGGGAAGATTAGGTGCGAAGAACTGGAATGGGGGTGAAGAGGCAAGATTTCTACTCGCCGATGCCACTTGCCTGTTGTGAGTTTGTATAATTTACTTGACTCTAGAACAGTTATCTAGAAATGTGACTTCTCAGTCATACATATGTTTAATCATAGCAGTTGTGTACATTTATCCCTTTCTCAACAAATACATCATAACCAATCTTAGCATTAATGACTGAATAATGACTTTTAACACATCTTTCCCAATATAACATTATCATCAATTTGTTGAAAAACAGACTCATGGAAAATATTTTCAAGAAATCAAGATTCTGTTTTGGGCATTTATTGACAAAGTTGTTGGTCCTTTTCCTGGGCCACTGCTTTTTCTAGTTTCTAAGTCTTATAAGTTATAGAAAGGGTAACATCTCAAAAAAATCACATTTCATCGACAAGCACTTAGAAATATTTCTAGAAAACAAGGTATATACCTGATTGTATATTACCCATGGGCATTTTAAAAATACTGCTGGAATCAGTCTTTTGGGGTGAGGCCCAGAAACCTATATTTTTACAAAGTTGTACAACTAATTTTGATGTACATCCCTGTGTGAGAACCACTGGCCAATACTGAATTTAAATCAGTGTTGGTCCAAGGGTCACATGCCTCAGAAAAATAATCTGGTCAACACTGAATTTAAACCAGTGTGGTCCAAGGATCATGTGCCTCAGAAAAACAATCTTTAATGACACTTAAAAATACAAATTTTAGCCTCTACCCAATTAAGGATTAAGGATTTTTATTCATTCAAAAGGAAGACAGCCACTCAAATGTTTAAAACAATATTTTATCTTCATTGAAGTTCAAGCTGTCTTGTTAGCTACTTTCTTAGACATTGGCGTTGAGAAGAATGAGAACAGCTGTTTTCTGGGTCTATTGGCATCATTCAGCTTTCAAGTGTGTTACTGATTTCATTAGAGAAATAACAGATGCCAGTTTTCAGTATTAATAGAAGAAAGGGAAGTGTGTGCTTTCTAAAATAATGAGTAAACATTAAGTATTACTTAAGGGAATATAATAATAAGTGCCCAATGCATGTTTCTGTGTGCCAGGTGCTATTCTACATGGCTCACAGATTTTCCCACCGAAGCCCTGGAACAGCCTTAGTGAGGTAGGTATTGTTGGTACAGATTTACAAATGAAGAAACAGGCACAGAAAGGTTAAGTAACTTGCCTAAGAATGTGGCTAGTAAGTGGTAGGACTAGGAGTTGAACCTAGGTGCTTAACTACTGTGTGAAACTATCACACAGAATACATGCAGTATATCTACTACCCTCTAAAATCCACTCTAGCATTTTTCCCCACTGAAGTTATATTTATTTTCTCCAGGAAGGAGTTGGATTTCAAATTCTAATTTTCACTGCCTTTTTGCAACAAGAAAGTAATTTCCTGTCTTAATTTTTTGCTTTACCAGAAAGCGTTTTCCTTATTGAGAGCATTTTATATAAAAGGATTTGCATAAAATCAACTTTACAGTTAAGCTTATTAAATAAGTATGGTTATTTACAGTGTATCCAGAAACTATTCAACCCTGGAGAAAATACGGAAAAGGCATCATTCCTAGTATGCAAGGGGCGCACTTGGATAAAAATAAGATACATTTTAAGAGGTACAAAAGGCTGTGCCTACTTCTGCTTTGGGAAGCTGAAAGCCTATATAAACCGGTTGTTGATAGATAAATGGGAGGTTATCATATAAAGTGCAGGGGAAAGTCTGGGTAGGGAACTGTAGGCTAGGCTAAGGTGTGTGCAGAAATTCATGTTCAAGGATTAGTGACATTACATGCAGCTGAGTTTAGGGTGCCTGGAGCAGAGTAACCGTGAAGCAAGGGAACAAGGATGAGCCCAACTTTGAAGAGCCACCTCAGGAGAAAAGTAGCTCTAGTAGTCAATGGTTTTGCAAACTGCAGAGATCAAATACTGCATGAAGGTGAAAATAGGCAGTTGGGTTCATAAGGTGATCACTCATACCCTTACGGAGATTTTTCTATAGTATGATAAGAGCAGAAATGACATAGAAATGTGTAGCTATGAGATTATGTAGATTTGAGTATATCAGGAAGTCACTGGTTTTGTTTTCTAAAGATGTGAGGAGATGTCGGCATATCTCTAAGGAAATGGAGAATCAAAGGTAGATGAGAAAACAGGAGAGTCACCTCCGAGGTAAGAAGGGAAAGTATGAACATCGTAAATCTGGGCGTGATGGAGAGCATTTCACTGATGCTAAACAAAGTATGTACATACTCATTAGCATATAGTATGTTTAAGTTCGTCCTGGGAATAAGAAGAGTAAATTTTGTCAAAAAATTATCTTTTCCAACTTACCCCCACATAGAATTCATTACATTGCTTGACTTGCTTCCCCACTGGGTAACAAATATATCTCTTAATCTGTATCAGCCCCAGACACTAGTATAATGCTTGCTGAATTATGAAAATGGCAGCAAAGTACCACCGCTAATAACACCCTATCACAGAAAAGCCTACAAAAGTTTGCTGAAAAGCTATTTTAGCAATAAGGCAGGACCGAAGAGTAATAACTAATAATAGGATCTGACAATATTCAGAGGGTTTCCCAGGCAGGAAAACGGACTAATATTCAAGTCGACATGTATTTAGTGCCCTTGAGGCCTTGGAAAGGAACAGAATTTAGTATAATCACAGTGTTAATGGAAAAGTTTGTTTCCTGAGCGCCGCCTTTAGGGCACCTTAAAAGATTCTCGGAGGAGAAACTGCCGCTGCGTCCACACTGACGTTCTAGGCTCGGCCTGGGTAATCCGCCTGGGTGATGAACCCGGGACGCGGGCGTCTGCGGCGGGCGCCGGGGGATCCCTCTCCGGAAGCCGCTGCCCCGCGCCGCCGGAGCGTCCGGTTGCCCGGGAGACGCCGCGGCGGTTCCGCTCGGGAGTTGCGCCGGCGGTTGTCTGCGCAGAGCGACTCGCGCCGGAGCTGGCGCTGCTCGGGCAGCTCGAGACTGCATCACTGTCGCTTCCATCCGCGCCGTAAGTGCGGGTCCCCGCGAGGGGCCGGGTGGAATGGGGGTCCGCGCGCGAGTTTGATGGAGAGAGATGTCGTGTCTGGATGGGGGCTCGCAGATAAGGGAAAGCGGGGTGGCCTCCGGAGGGACAGGAAGGGGTGGGGGTGAGGGGCTAGAGGTGACAAATGGCTCCTGCTGGCCACGCCACTGAGCCGGTGGGGCTCCCTGGTGGCTGGAGGTAGGTGCGGCCCTGGGGACGACGCTATGGTGGCAGCAGAGGAGGGAGCGGGGGGCGCATATGCGCTTTGGGAGACCCTTGTGTGGCGAAGCTAGACTACCATTAAATGAAGGGTCGAGACTAGTTTAGAGACCTGGAAATACAGTGATTTATGTGCTATGTGTACACATGAAATGTGATGTTTTTAAACAAAATTAATTTATTGAATTATGTAAATTATGTGGTCTTCTAGTTTTTCTGGGGATGCTTTTAATTAATTCGATTGTAGTGTCACCAGGACAAGTTTATGCACAGTTGTATGTAATTTTGAAGTTCTGTTAATGCCGTATTAAAACATAGATGCAGAATGGGTTTTTAACCCATTTTCGTGGTCAGTTTTATTAAATATAAATACATTTGGTTGCATTGGAAACAGTAACAACAACGTAGCAAGCAGATTGTGACTTTCAGCCTGTAGAGTCCTTATTGGTCTAGCCTGCTCTTGAAAAAGTCTCCCCTTTCCTCACCCCCCATTCATAATGATACTGTTTACACGAGTTTCCTAGAAACTTTTAGATTAGGAAATTAATAAGTTTTTTCACCCCGTTTCCTCTCCCTTTCTTAATTTTGTTTTCATCGAGCTTGCTTGAGCCCTCAGGATCTGGTTGTGATACAGTCGTTGAAAATAATCTGCCTCCAAGTGTTTTCTCTTTTTTTGTGTGCATCTTTTTGCAAATTTTTAAAGACTAAGGAAATTAAACAGAAAAATTTCAAAGAATTTAATGATCCACTCAAGTATCTATCTCTGACTTTCTATGTTCAACAATGGGCCCAAGGCTATACCTGTTTTTGCTTTTGTGCACAAAACTTCGTGAACCTAACAGTCAAACATCTGGTAAATTCTGAAGTCAGGAGGCCTGTAGCCAAGAATATGTATGTATGTATGTATGTATGTATGTATGTATGTATGTATGTGTGTGTGAGAGAGAGAGAGAATACAGCTTCAAATTGAAGGTCACTAATGACCATGGAAATATATTCAACCAACTGCATCTATACCTATATCACTGTTGCATCTTGATCTCCTGCCCAAGTACTATATTAACAATCAAAATGTAATTATTACCTTTGCTTAAAAAAAAGAAAGTTGTTATATATATTTAGTGAAAAGGTTAGAGGATAAAATTATGGTAGATTGAGGACCTACTATGTACCAGACAATGTATTAACGATGCTAGTCAGGTATAAAAAAATTATATGTAAAAGGAATAGGGAAAATTGTTAACACTGTGTGCAGAGAACGAGCCTGCCTTTGGGGATTGCAGAGGGCTAAGCAGAAAAGACATTTGAGTTGAACTGCAAAGAGGAAGAGGATTCCAAGCAGTGGTATAAACAGAGACTTGAGACCTGAAAATGTTTAGGGAAGGATCTGAGAAGCAATGTGGGAAAGGTACAGTGGGAGCAGGGTGCAAAGGACTGTAAATATCATATACAGTTGGAACTTTATTCTGTGGCATTAGAGTCCCTAAGACATTTTTGAGGAAGGATGATATCTGATTATATTGATATTTGAGAAAAATGTGTTTGGTGTAAAAAAGTAAACATGCAAGGAAAAAAATGTTAAGACACTTTAGTCCAACTGTATACGGCTTTTGAGAGTAAGTTGCAGACATCAGTCATGTCTCTTTATCTTTAAATAGTTCAATGTATATTCTTTAAGAACGAGGATATTTTCTTACATAACCACAGTACAGATTATCAAAATCAGGAAATTTAATATGTCAATATTTAGGTTTCACCAATTACCCCAGAATTATTCCTTACAGGCCCCTTCACCTTCCCTCCCCCCAGCCCCCCCATTTAAAGGTCATGCACTGCATTTCATTTTTACATTTCTTTAGTCTCCTTCTGTCTGGAATAGTATTCTGACCTTTGTCTTTCATGGCCTTGACATTTTTTTTTAAGAACACAGGCCAGTTGTTTGTAGGAATGCTCCTCAGTTTGGTTTTGTCACCTGTCTCCTGATGATTACATTCAAACTTTGCATTTGGGGCAAAAATATCACAGAGGAGATGCAGTGTCCTTCTCAGTGTCTCATTTGCCTTTTCTAGACCTTTTATGCAAATGAAATCACAATATGTGGGATTTTTGTGTCTGGCTTCTTTCACATAGCATTATGTTTTTAGGTTTTGGGTTATTCCATTTCATGGATATTCACTCATCAGTCGATGGATATTTAAAGGCTGTTTAAAGTAATGGTATCGTGGACATTTGCATACATATCTTTGTGTAGACATTTTTTAAAATTTTTTCTGGGTAGATACCAAAGAATTCCTATTTATGTCTTACTTTTATGTTAAATTTATGTTTAACTTTTAAGAAATCGACAAACTTCTCCTTTGGGGCTGTGCCATTTTACATTCTCACCATTAATGTTGAATTTCTGTATAACCTTATTAACACTACATATTGTCAAGCTTTTGGATTTTAGCCATTCTAGTGCATTGTGGTTTTAATTTACATTTCCCTAAGGACTAATAGCATTCTTTCATGTGCTTATTAGACATTTGTATATCTTCTTTAGTGAAATGTCTATTTAAATCTTTTGTCCATTATTAAATTGGGTTGCTTGATTTTATGTACTTTATGTTATAAGAGTACTTTATGTATGTGCTGGATACAAACCCTTTGTCAGGTATATAATTTTCTAATATTTTTCTTTAGTCTGTGGCTCATCTTTTTGTTTTCTTAATGGAACAAATTTTTTTTGAGGAGCAAAACATTTTAATTTTGATGAATTTCATTTTATCAATTTTTTCTTTTATGGATTATGCTTTTGGTGTCATGTCTTAGAAATACTTGCCTGAGTTTTCAAAGATTTTTGGTTTTACTATGTTTATTTCTAGAAGCTTTAGCTCTTATATTTTGGTTGGCGATTCATTTTGAATTATTTTTGATATATTGTGCGAGGCTGGTATCTGAATTTTTTGTTTTATGTGGGTAGGTGGGTGGGGTTTTTTTTTTTTTTTTTTTGCCTAAGGATACTCAATTGCCCATGCATTGTTTGTTGAAAACAATATTCTTTCCTCATTGAATTGTTTTGGCATCTTTGTCAAAATCAACTGACCGTAAATAAAAGAGTTTATATC